GATTAAGTGTGATCCTTTGTGGCCAAATGGTATAAATCTTACCTGGTGTGAAAAAGCATGTTTCTCCACAAACTTTCTTTTTTTGTTTTAATCGGCATTTCTTTTTCCAGAGATCATCTGTTTGAGGGGCAAAAAAGAACTGTCTTTCTGCTTTTTTAAAATCATTGCTCATGCACAAGCTCAGAGCAAAAGAGTTTGGCTGCTGTCATGACCACTGAGTTGAAGGTGGTGTATTGCTAATATCTAATTTTTCTGCATTTCTAACATGGTCAGCTGAGCGAAATTTACAACTAATGTCATTGGCTCAAATTTTGGTGCAGGAAGAAAGTGAAGATGACATTATCCAAGACCCCTTCTTTCTGGGGTTGCATATACCACTGAGCAAATTCCATTCAAAAATAGCTGCTAATTCTCTCCAGGTCCTATATTACCTCCATAGGTAAAGCAGCACTGCCTTTACCACCACAATGAGTAATCAAACCCCAATGGAAACAGGTATTACAGCAATCTAACTCAGATCCAGTACCTGAAAACAACAGCACTGCACAATTTGGAAGTTTCAACTCAGCTCAAGTCCATGTGATTCAACTTATCGGGTAATTTTCAAGGTAAACTGACATGATTATCGATGAGTAACAGGACATTACAGCTTGGTTATGAGCTACGCATTTCTGTAAAAGCATTATTTCCTTGAGGTCCTTTGGCATTACTCATGATACGCACTTTGATCTGATATGCATTACAGGTTTAAACAGCTCTGTTTTTTAACACTCTGTTAAAAAAAAGCAGAATCATGAGTAAATGTGCTCATTGAATATACAATTAAAGGTAATGCCATGATAATGTAGTCTGAATGGGTCATTGAACCTACTCTCTGCAGCTTAAGGGTGTAAAATTGCAGAGAGATTCCAGAATCCATGATTCACCCTCAAAGCTTAAAGCCCAGGTAGAAATGCATGAGGCTGCATCATAATGACACCATTCTGATGAACACATGGTTTCACAGAATAAAAGAGATTTTGTCTTCGGCTCTAAGGATTTAAAAAGCAATTGACTTCACATGATCCCAAGCATTTTGACACTGCACCTGTCATTAGAAAACAATGACATTAATGTTGTCCACACTTTAGCTGTGGTACCTTTGTCTGTGCACATGTTCAAGACCACAAACATTAACACAATCTCTCTGTCTTACTTATACTGTACACAAACACACGCTCCCATGCTTCCTTCCTTTCACACAATGCCTTCCAGCGAGCTGATCATGAGGTCTTCATGTTAGAGTTTCTCCAACAAAGCCAAAAACAGGATGTGAGGGAGGGAGCGAGGGATGCTGGACAGTTCTATAGTCTGCCTGCTCTGAGAGCAGCCCTGGGCTGTGGAGGTCATTGTGGATCTGTGACTGGAAATAAGATTGTGTGTATATGTCTCCACACAAAGGAATTGTTTGTAGAAAAATCTAGTTTACACAATTTTCCACTTACCAAAGATGGTGGTCAGTTAGCCAATACATGTTCAGTGTCCAAATTTTACTTCCTTAGTTAGGAGCTACGAGGCTCAAGAAGTCAATAGTCACCCAAATCCACTCTGTAAATACATACCCAAAACTTCTCTCAACTCACTCAAACCATGTCCAGATTGTCATTAAGGCCATGCAGACTTGTCAGTGTGGTTTAGGACACACAGTATGACTTATGGTGAACTGTAAAAAAGAACAAAACTTCCATGTAGCCGAACACTGCAGCCAGCCATCTTAGAGAACAGGTCTTGTCTAGCCAAAACACACACCATGATTTCTGTTGTTTCTTTTTATGAATATCTGTTAATTTTGATTTTTTCAGAACTGAAGATATATGTTCAAAAAAAGAAAAAGGAACTGCAAATTTAATCAAGCATCCATATTCCTGAAGGACGTGAATACAAAGGAAAGTTGGAATTCGACACAACATCTGTTGTAAAATGGGTGCCCACATTTTTATAGATCACAGAAGTCATACTAACTGTCTTACACCACATCCACAAATCTGAAAAGATTGGACACTAAAGATGTCTTGGCTGATTGACTATCTGGATTAAGTGGAAAACTGTGTAAATGTCTGCCAAACCATTCCTTTAAGTTTGTAACAATTTCATTAAAAGTTTGAAAAACTGAGCATTCAAAACAGTATTTTGAGATTAAAACTCTATCGCTGCCATGGCCATTGATTTTTTTCTGAAGTTCTCTCGTCATTCATGGAAATCACTGTTGATGATCAAAATTAGGCATCTGAGTGCAACTTAAAGTGGGAGGGGTAAAGTGAGAGAGGAGTAGTTATGCTATGCATGCACTCACACTCAAACAACCAGACTCTTTTTTTGAAGTCGCTTATATATTCTATGGTTTGTGATTTTTTAAACTAACTTTGTTATTGAAAATCAAATCAAATCTTGACGTCATATTTGAAAAACTGACACACCCCAACTGTGTCTGTGAATATAAGAGAATTGCACTGATTCCTCTTGAGAATATACTCAACTACTCAGTTAGTATGAACTTCAACAAATGCAGTGCACTAGATGACCCCTGCCTAAGAAACAGTCCTGCTCTAAGCAGATTAAATCAGATGACCTCAGTCACTCTGAAGGCTTGTGTCAATGGAAGAAGGTTTACTTTGTGATTGGGAAAGTTTTACAAAGTTACTTTGTGATTTGGAAAGCCATGTTCCAGTTGTGGTTGTTTTGACTCCCTTTGCTTCTGCTGTGATGATAGAATTCTCCGAAATAGCTAATATATTTTTTTTATCAGCTGTTATGCAATTTCCAGCTTGGCTGACTTTTCAAGGGTCAGACTTCTTTAAGTTCGTGAGAGAGGGATGGCCAGACAGAGAAGCTTTCCCTCACTTTCACTCAGAGGAGGAAACAGAACAGTACTCCACCCAGTCCACACACTCCCTGTGCTAATATAAATACACAAAGTAGGACACAAAGCTCAGAATGCTGGCAGAGACGAACATCTGGAATGAGGCGTGCGTTTCAAAACTGAACACACTAATCAGCCTTCCAACTTAAGTTAACATTCCAATTAACATTCCAGCACCCTGAACTGTTCTGACTGATAAAATACAGCTGGGCTAACTGTGTGCCACCCACACTTCAGATATTAGGAGTAACCTATCCAGTCTAAATGGGGTATTAAGATAACTACATACTGGTGCTCTTCCTTCATAAACTTCAGTGGTGTTTTACAAATGCTTTGGAATTGTATGAAGGGCTCACAAAATATGTTTATTAAATTCATAACAATGTCATTTTTTAACAAATGGTGCTTAGATTTCACAGTCAAATATCTGCACCAATAGCTATCAAGGTAGTTGATGGGAAAAAAAACACAGCCTTATATTTAGTAACTAGTAGAAGGTCCTTTATTGGCAGTAATTTCATATAAACCCCCTCTGTAGCTGTTAATCAATCCTGTGCTATGGTTAGGAGGTATTACAGTTTATTCTTCTTATCTCTGTTGTCGGAAGAAAACCCTGTATCTCCATTTTTGATGTTTTTCAGTTTTTAAAATAATTTGAAAATGCCTGTTACCCTTTACATTGTATGTAAATTTCATAATGAATGGACTAAAAGAAATGACCCAAAATGACTTGGAAAAATTTCTGGTTCCACTGACTTACATTAAAAGTAAAGTATGTTTTTCCTTCTCCTGTAAAGTTACCATCTTGGAGATACAAGGTGTTCTTCCGATAGCAGCGTTATTAAAACAGTTTCAGTTCAGTTGAATGGGCTACTTCGAATCATATCATAACAATGATACGCTTTTGAGGTCAGGGCTCTAACTTTGCCATTTCAAAATGCAGTTTCTTCTGTAAGCACCAATCTGTTGTTGATTTATATGTTTTGGATTATTGCTAGGTTGCATAACCCAACCTCCTTCAAGTTTTAGTAGGGATGCACCAATATGGGAATTGGGGGCTAACATGAGAAGTTTTTAGATGTACATAACTGCTGATACCTATACACAAACATTCATAAAATACAGGACTTGGGACTACATCCACCCGGATTCGCATTACAGTGCAATGCATCATTTTTTCTGTAGGGTTACAGATGCACTAAAGTAAATAAAACACAGAGAGTTTAGCCCAGTATCCCAGCGTCACCACAATGTGCTGCTCTCCCAGAGTACAATAAACGTGTCATCAGATATTACTTTGAAATACAGCCAAATCAGATGGTCTGTCCGATGCCAATAATTTTTTTAACAATTATCTGCAGATACTGTTATTCCAATTCCAATGTGATACCATATCATTGTGCGTTTTAGATCACAGGTGGTACCTTGACATTCTGAGCTTGACATTCAATCATCATTAGATCTTTTTTGATATTGCACCAGGTCAGGGTCAGGTCACACACACAGCTGCATTACTGTGTTTTACTGTGAGTATTTGGTTCATCTTAAGCATGGTGTTTTTTGTTGTTGTTGTTGTTTTTTTTCATGTATTTATTTACTTTTTCCATGGGAACCTCCTGTTAGTTAGCCTGTGGTAAAGTGAGCCTCAGACTGCTAACCACAAAACCTTAATTAAAGTAAACATGTAGAAAACAAGAGAGGGCTTAAACCTCAGACTGGAGCTCATGTATAAAACCACTCATTCTGTTGCTGTTTTGGCTTGAGACTCATGTTAGAGATGCAACAAAAAGCAATCTATAACAGATGCTCAATAATAAGTTTATATGTGAAGTGCTCCTGTTCTAATGTATAGTACATTTCACAATGAGGCGTTTTTCCCCTACGAACTCATTATTGTGGGGATACAAAGGCCAGCAATATCTGTGAGAGTGCTGAACTGAACTGGGCCCAGTTTCCCAAAAGCATCTTAGAGCTAATATCATCTCAACACTGAGAGAGTGTTTAGTGTGATGCTTGCTCTACCATTTAAGAATCATACTTTTGCTAAGATGTTTTTGGGGAAAACCAGCCTCAATCTAGATGACTATTCTCACCTCCTGGCTCGTCCCATGTGTTCTGTAGAACAGGGCTCTGGGCTCCAGATTAGCTCTCTCTCTGGAAGGCTCTGCTCCACAGCGATATGGACAACCAGCAGCCGGCGCAGACTCACCAAGTCTGAGTCTTTGAGACCCTGCTCCAGCTGCCTCAGTACAGCCCGGCCTGGCTGACTGCTCATCACCGTCACCTGCACAATGGCCATTCATACACTGTGGCTCAACACAATAAGACAGCTGCCCTTGAACAATCTAGTACTTGATAACTACTGAAAAGGTCATCAATTAATAATAATAAACAGTTCTTCAGAAATCTGTCTTTTAGAGTTCAAGATATCAAAACAATCAGGTCTGTTGGAAAAATAAAGTAATTATTCATTCAAGTAGAACACTTTAAAATATTGTAACCATTGATAATTCAGTATAGTTTATATAATATACCATATAGACAAGCCTTTAAAAAGTCAATTACTTTAGCTTTGATGAAAGTGAAAAACAGAAAAAGATCAAATTAGCAAACATCATTACCCCGTCTTCTTCTAGAAATCATCCAAATATTTTGCACATATTTTCATATAGTGCTTATATAAAGTGTTCCTGGGATTAAGTAGTCTTATGTGCTTTAGTCCCAGTCTTATGACCACAGATGAAAGCAGATGATAGCCTTCAGCTCTGCGTGTGCGACCACATTATATGTAGCATACGGCTTCAACAAGCTACTAAACCTCTAAGACGCAGGCATCTCTGTTTGAATTACAGTCACTCTGTGCTCTCTTGCAGCTGTTTAACTCTAAAATGAGAGAGATACTGGGCTCAAATTGTAACATTAATCTCATTTAGCAGAAAAAAAATCAGAACAATCTAATTAAATACACTTGTCCTCTGCTCAGCTTCCTGCATGGAGAACATTAGTGCTGGATTTTAATGGAGCCTGTAGAGAGCAGAGAAGCCACGACAGGCCATGTGGTATGTGTCAGGATGTTGATAGATACATTAAAGATTGGTAACAGAGATAAAATATGTTCCAGATTTCTTTAGGCAAATAATTTAAATATGTACTAAAATAGTCTGAAGCAAGTGGGACTTCATTCAACTTGATGTGAGGTTTCACTGAAGTGTATCATTCAGCTTGATGTTGCGCACTTTAGACTGTATATACTGCTGCTATTCCTAATAATGTTTATACTCATTGTGTTGTAAACTACCTCATAACACTGTTCTGTGAGAGCAATACGTGCTGTCACATAAATCTGTCTTATATGCTATGTAAATATGCAAAAATTCTATTCCTACTCTCTCATACTTGACTCTAATGTATGTATATTTTTTATTTCTGACTAATTTATGTATATTTTTATTTTTATTTCTGCCTAATAAGTTTATGTGCAATTATGTGTCTTGCTACTGTAACACTAATTTCCCTGCGGGATCAATAAAGTTCTATCTATCTAGCTATAATGATAGCACACCAGACATGTGGCAAAGGTCATGTTCTCAAACAGAAATGTGATACCCTGATTGATCAGCAGCAAGGCAAAGACAGGTTGGACCCTGAAAAAACAGACCAGAAAACTCACACTCTAGTGTGAGTATTGGGTTCTCACCTCTACAGAGCTGCTCTTGAGGTCATTCACCAGTGTGGAATGGTGAGCGTAGTGCTTGTACTGCTGCAGGCTGTCCAGTACTGCCTGTTTAAGCAGTTCGGGCCGTGGTCGAATGCAGCCCTCTGTAGGCAGAGAGCGCAGCTCCTCCACACACGAATGCAGGCGTACAAGATTACTCTTCACCTGCTGAAAGATTAGTAAATTCATAATTTTTCTTTTTTTGATAAAAGAAAGAATAGTCTGAGTGAGTAAATTGCGTAGTTGACACCACACACAACAATAAACACATACAGCAGATGATGAATGCCACTGACACTGGCAACAGTCAAACATATAGTAAGCCACATCGCTTTCCTATTGTACTCTGCAAACAAATTAAGACAAAACATACATCAACCAGCCACTTAATTAAGTACACCTTCTTGTTTCTATGTTCAGTGTCCATTTCATCAGCTTCATTTACCATAAAGGTGCACATTGTAGTTCTACAATTACAGACTGTAGTCCATTTGTTTCTCTGCACACTCAGTCAGCTTTTATCCTGTAACTGTAGAACTACAAAGTGCACCCATATGGTACACAGACCTGATAAACTGTACAAGGAGTTTAAGCCAGGTGTACTTAATGAAGTGCTCGGTCAGTGTATATGGTCTCTTTCTATCTCACCACAAATGGCAGCAGGCACTCCAGCTGTAGATTCACTGCGTAAAGACTGAGCAGAGGCACTCGGCTTGGTCCCTCCAGAGCGCTTGCTAGAGAGAAGAAGTTTTCAAGTGCTTCACACAGGACAGAACATGTTTCTGACCACCAGGGTGGCGATGTGTCCACAATGAGCACACGAGGTGGCTGTCTGCAGAAGGACAAGGCACAGCACACCTGGCTGGCTAAAGGGCCAGAACGGTTTCTGCCACTCATGCCTCTCGAATCTACAGAACAGGATAGTAACAAAATATGATGTAGTGAAACAACACAACTGCCAATGAGCTACATGAAAATTTCACAACAGACAACAACAAAGAAGGCTATAGTAATAAAAATGTAATGAAAAAAATACATTTCTCTGAACGTTTTCCATGGCTTTATGAAACAAGGAAGATATTGTTTGTTACATCAAACAGAGAGACTAAATATAGCTATAATTCTCTGCAATCCATGGGCTCATCAGTGCTATTTCACTACACAAGAGCACCCTTTCACTAAGCTAATGTTCTGGATCCTTCTGTGCTTCAGGCTTGGTCCTCTGTTTCAACACAACATTCACAACAAAAGATACACTGTCTCATCTAAAACAGCCTGGTGTTTCAGATCCAAGGGCACCACAGACTGAGTGTCATTAGATGAGCAAGCAGCCTGATCATAACACTAGGAGAGATGATGATGAGGAGAATTTAATAGGCATTCTCTACATGTCCTGTAAAAGTATTTTCCACTTATTATTTCAAACTGTCTTCAGAAAGCAAGTACTGATGGCATTACTCAGCAGTGCTTCCTGTTTACTTCAATTCATGTAATTGAATACTGTCAAAAATAATGCTCCATGGACTAAATTTGAAATAAATAAATATATAAATATATGACATGCACTGTGAAGAGAACATGCTTTGTTATCACTGTTACTATGCATAGTAACCTATATGTTTAAATCTATTTATGGGCCTGTGTAGCTGTATGGTTAGCAGGCCTATGTGTACTGTAATCAAAGCTCCCTGTAAGTAAAGCTTCTGCCTCAGCTGGATTTATCCAGGGGCAGATAGCTAAATGGCTCCTAGCTTGATTTATCTGGAATAAACAAGACATCAATGAGGCATTAAACAGAAGTTTTCATAGTTCTGAGAAAAAAGCCATACTGAGTGTTCACACTGTGAGAAATATTCAAAAGGAGCGGTGGTGAGGTAGGGTGTAAGTTAAGTAGTCATACTTACTTTTTCTTTTTCCCCTTTTTTAGCACAAAAAAGCCCTATGAGTCTATATGAAAGCCCGTTAGATTAAAACCCATTTTGTGACAAATGCTACTGTCTATGAATATAAACTACAAAATTTCAACAATAAATATTCTTAGGTGATATGACAAAACGACGTAAATACAAAGGGATGGACAGTGGTGGCTGATTTAGAAGGTTTTATTTATTTATTTTTTTTCTGGACCAGGCGATCGCGTCCCTCTTGCATCACCCCGGCTAGAAGTAGGTTAATTAAGTTAGTTAGCTAACTAGCTAAGTGAAAGGAAAGCTAATTTAACCTAGTTAGCTAGGCACTTTTGTGTTGTCGTGACCAAACATCGTTAGCTCCCTGACGTTTCCTTTACACAATAAAGTATTTCCTTTTTGTTTCTGATGAGCTTACCTCTTGTAATCAGTACGGAAATGCGAATTTTTATTTTTTACCAATCGCAGCCTGCTCAGCTAACTATTTATCCCAGTTTTTTACCGTTAGTTAGCAAGCTAACTAGCTAGCTAACGTCCCCGGAATTCAAAGCTCCTTAGCTAAGTTAGCCTAAACGGCTAACGTTACCGCCAGTCGAAGGTTTACAGGTAAGTCACGCTGCTATCAGGTCGTTCAACGGTAGAGCAGAAATGTCTAGAAATGTTAGGATAACGTGGTCCTTCACTTATTTCCAGTGTCGTTGTCTGTTACGGCTAGCTATGTGAGCTAAACTGTTATCCTGTTTTACAGCTCTTACAGATCTCCGTTTCGGCGGTTTGAGGACCGTTTATTCAGTTTGATCTGCGCGCGACACAGCAGCGGCACTACAGAGAAGAGCTGCTGGACTTTCCACAGGAAAATTCAAGGTTAGGAAGTTCATTAAAGCATGAGGAGAATATGGTTCTGCAGTAGTACAGTAAGCTGTGGAGGCTACAGCAAGCGCCTAAACATTTCATACAGCCTGTAGAGATTTTATGAATGTGCTGGGCTGCTTAAGGATTAAACAGTAACTTCTGCCTCTCTGTCTGTCTGCCCCAGCCTATAGTGCTGACCGTTTTAAGAGCTCCATTCCAGGTGCTGACTGACTGACTGACCAGCTGTCATTGTTAGGAATCGGCAGTAAATAAGCTAAATGTGATTTTAACGTACTGTAATCTTTGATATATCGCTAATTAACAACAGTAACAAAAATGGGGGGTTGCTGAGACCTTGCCCCAAAAGAGCTAAGAGATTCAGTACGTTATGCATTTGGATACATATTAGCAATGATTTGATTCTTAGTTTAGTAATGAAACGTAAACACACACAGACAGAAGGCTACATGCATAGCATTTTGAACTCTTTTCAAGTGATCATGTATCCTTGGTCTAGATCCTCTTTTGTGATACCAGGCAGTGCTAAAACATGCTTCATAACTGGAAAAATATTTTCTATATTTTTACTTTGCATTAGGATGTTTAAGAAAACTGATTAAAATGTGTTAAAGTATTACCCACCAGAATTAGGGGAAACTGCCAAGCTTAATGTATGTTTAAAAAAATATATCTTAATTTTTAGATGTTCTGACAACCCAGGTAAGGGTGGTTAAAATGGAAAAATATGATATGTACTGATATTTTCACAGTATACTGTGTAGTAATATTGCCAAGCCAAGTTCCAGCTAACACACTGCAATAGTTTAGCCAGCTTTGCCTTGACAGTACAAAGTCTACCATTACAAAGTCTTAAAAATTTCTCCCTGAATTTTCTCCCAATATTAGTATAAGGCTTCTTATTTCTATAGGTCTCTTTCCTGTTGCACAAAAGCCCCTCCACTCTAGGTGGTACTCATGCATCCTCTAAAGTACAATAAGCCAGTTGCTGCATCTATAGAAACCTGGCTGCTGAGCACTCAGTAGTTGAAAATGTTTGGAGGAGAGCATCGCAACTTGCTTGTTGCTTGACATTCAAGTTATAAACTTTGCTATTTAATGAATAATATGAATAGTCCTTTGAACTATCTGTGTCATCCTGGCCTTGTACATCATATGATGCAACCTGGGTCCATCATTCCCAACTACTGCCAAACTTAAAACTAGCCTTTCTTCAGATTTACCACAACTTTCATGAAATATGCCTGCAGAGATATTATGAAATTAAACTCTGTTCATCTTCCTCAAAATAAATGATGGTGGTTATTTAAGCACATCCACCGTTGCGGGTTCATTTCCGCGCCTTAAGAGGCTTTGGCTGACGGCTGGGCTGTGAAATCAGACCTGACGTATGACGATGCGCTGCTTGTCCTGTGCAGGCGGGAATTAACATGAAGCTGGTGCATCTGTTCTGTGGAGATAAGGGAGAACGCAGTGGAGCTCCAATCTGACGCGACCGTCTCTATAGAATTGACTAAATGGAAGGCCCAGCTCTGGAATGCTTGCGAATGTTTGATCTATGCCTGCATGCCTGTCTGCTGTTTCATGGTATAAGGAAATGTGAATGAAATGCCAGAGACGTTTTAGAGACTTCACTGGTTGTCAGACAGTTTTAGTATCTAATCTAGGCTAATATTTCTTATCAGATTCCAATAAGATCGATATCAAGGTTCTGGACTTGACCAGAATTTTTACACCAAATATGTCCGAAAGTGTGTAGACACCCATTCATCCAACATTTCTTCTGAAATTAAGGGTATTAATAGGGAGTTCATCCTCTTTTGTTGCACTAACAGTCTCTGCTCTTCTGGGAAGGCTTTACACCAGATGTTGGAACATTACTGTGAGGATTTGATTGCAGTCAGCGACAAGAGCAATAGTGAAGTCAGGATGAAGCTCCATCCCTCTACACAATGCAGTTAGACTGCTCCACAGCCCCTGTGTTTCTACTATGCAAGCTGTAGGCCATTAAATGCATTGAGTGCTCAATTGGTTCATCTTGAAGTAGCTGAATTCACTAATTAGAAGCAGACATATAGCGTACACTGTATCATTTTATATTGAACGCACCGCCTAGCAGGTAAACAGTAATTAGAGGCAGAGCAGTAAAGTAATGGCTGTTTAGCTTTAGCTTGGTAGGCATTAGCCAGAAACCCACACTTAGACGAAACAAAGGCCATGTCCCTGCATGCCATCATGGTGCCTCTCCTTATGATGTAACAGCTCTTTGGGACAAAGGCTTGCAGCAGTATCCGGATTTTGAATGTAATAGCATCTCCGAAAAGAGCCGACATGCTTTTACACCTCTTAAGGGGATTCCACCGTAAATCCCTTTGTTTTATTTGGCAGAGAGACAGCATTACAATTTTGCGATCAAGAGGCACATTTCATGGGAAAAGTGCATGTTGCATCTGTTGGATATGAGTGGCACACTGACTAGCCGATAATACCTTCCCGCTAATAAGTTTTATTGTATGAGACCTCACATTTGCTTGAATAATGTGCATATTGATGTGTTTGTTAGTTCATTAGATTGTGAGTTTTACATTTGAGTATGTTCTGTAAAGACTGGTAGGCTAATACAGTGCATGCTAAAAGTGAGCATTCTTGCATGTGTTTTTGCACAACAGCCCCTGAGGGCCATTATTTTTGCTGAGCCACATTTCAAGAGATTAGTTCACGTTCTCACAGTGTTTAGCTTTTTCCCAGTACCTCAGAGCCTCTTAATCATAAATCTGTGCAGCTATGAACCATACCACTTATTCAGCTCACTCAGAAATGTACTGGTGCACAATGATGGGATAAACATCCTCATTCAGTGATGCCATGCTATTCTCGTGATGTTGAATTCAATAGATGGATTTAAAAGCTGTTTGATTTCAGTACGTACTGAGAGAGCGGTCCTCTCTGAATGTGTAGTGCTAATACTTAGATAGGTGTTTCAAATGATGTCTTTCAGTAAGACTGGATGAAAAAGGTTTCATCTATAGTGGTTCTGGATTCTGCAATGACTGCCAAAGACTTTGTTACCATGACCTTCCTTCACTGGCACAAATTGAAACAGTGTGACATTTTGTGCCA